GAAAATTATTTTTAAAAACTACTATTTTACACTTAGACTACCTAAAACACTAATCTGCATCCAATCCCATAACAATGCCATCACACTTCTGAAGAGCTGTTAAAAACAGGCAAATTTCTCTTGCAGTTCATAACATCAATGAAATTCTACTTTACAAATTCCGTTTTAAGTCTCACCTTGCGGTTTGAGTAGCAGGGACAGCGCTGCCCCCTGCAGGTCAGCACTGATGGATTCTGGGTGGCCCTGCCACACTTGCAGCCTTTCTTCTCCACTGGCTTCTTGTATGGAGGTCTAACAGGTGCCGGGGGCACAAGGCAGCCAGACATCAACCGCTGGTCTTTGCTTCCGTCCTTGGTCTTGGACCCTCCGCCACTGCGGGCCTTCGCATGAGGCTTCTTAGGGCCTGGATCAACATGCTTCCTGGGACCTTTATTGTGGTTCTGCGGAGGGCGACTGGGCTTGGGGGGCGCCCCGTTGGGAAGGGACGAGTATGTGTGTGCTGGTACAGTTAAGGAGGGTGTTGGTGGTTGGATGTGCAGTGTCTGAGAGGGGTTTGGAGTGTGTGAATGTGAGGAGGGACCCTGTAGGATGGTGGCGATAGGGAGGGGTTTCACCTTTTCCCTGTCACTCTCTGATCGAGAACGTTTACGTTTAAGGCGGACTGGCGGGGGCTTGGAGGTTGGAGGTGGATCGAAGGAGGAAGTGTGTATGTGAGCACCATGACTTGCCACTGTGTTAGTCCTGTCAGTTTGAATCTGTGTGTAGTTGTGAGCTGCGTCCAGCTGTAAGTACATTTGAGCGTGTGCTCTGTCCGTGGTTATATGTGCGTGAGTGTGCATTCGTTCTGGGTGTGTATGAGGAGAATCTCGACCGGTCTGAAGGGGATCCAAAGTCTGTAACACCTCCTCCACACTGAGGAGCAACACCTCCCCCTCCTCCAGCTCCCTGCTGCTAGATTCCCCATCCCTGAGTGAGCACACAGTGCCTGGAGTTGGGGCTAAAGGTCCAGTAGTCAGACTCAGTTCCAGACCACCACAACCAGTATTGGACACAGACAGGCCTGCCTGTGGCTGCTCCTCTACCAGCTCGCATACTTCCAGTTCAGGAGAAGAGGGATCCAGGTCTTCCAGCACTTCTCCATTGCATTCCTGTGGTCCATTGGAACAGGGAGGGTCAGAGGAGGAGCTCTGGGGTACAGCTGAGAGCTCTGCAGGAACAGGTGGTGCCTCTGTGGGGGTAAGGGACTCTGGCGCAGATGGATTCAAATCTTCCTGTGCAAAGCTTGAGTCTTCTGTCTCTATCTCCTCTTCGTGTGACATCAGCACTTCATCTAGCAAAGCCATAACCTCTGGAGACCCTCCCACATGGCTGCTGATTGACTGCAGCAACGGCGAATGAGTTACATAGAGGCAAAGCTTCCTGTAGCACTGCACCAACAAAGAAAGCTGTTTGTTCTCCTGGAAGCAGGAGGAGTCCCTACAGCGGCCGCACGATGGCCTGATCTTCATCTTCTGGCCTTTGCAGCCCAAGCAGACATAATGCTGACACTCTGCATGTGTTGGGGAAATGGGATCCTGGAGCAGTTTACCTGGTACAGAAAAGAGAGGAAGCTTTTAAACAACATTCATCCACTTTGCACAGTGAACAAGCTGCACAGAGTCATTTCAAGTTATTTCTATTCACCGTCATGCCTCAATAGAAACAGTAATTACCATCTGAAATCATTAATCTGTCAATTATTTTCTCAATTAACCATTTGGTCTGTAAAAATGCCTGTCACAATTACCCAGAGCCTAGGATGAATTCAGTAATAGCTTGTTTTGTCTGACCAGCAATCCAAAACAGATGCAGAATAATTTTCTGTCAACTGACTAATTGTTTTCATATAAACTTGTGCATTTCAAGATCAGGGAAATCAAATCATTATCTGTGACTGGAAATTAAATTAAATTATCTGGAATTAAATATCGTTGTTTCCTGCACTTTTTTCTTAACTTATTGGTCCCAGTTTACTGAAATAAACACAGAACGCTTCAGCCTGCATAATCATTATGTTCACATTACTGATTTTTACCGCTTACATCACCCAACCTGTACTTCTGTTTAAGTAACTGCATGGCAGCACAAATAATCATGCCAGAAACACCATTACATAACCACCAGAGGCCAGAAATATTGTCATATATCACCCTGTCAATATTGCCCATCTCTAAATGCAAGCTGTGCCAGTGTTGATCTTTCACTAGCTAAGCAGAGTGAGTAAATTCAGTATGAATAGGAAACACATGGCTCTGCAGCAGACACAACAACAGAGGAGTCATCTGTCTTGACAAGAGGACAGATGACTGGGGCTCAGCCTCGGTTGCTAAGGAAACCACGGTTGTGAGCACGACAAATCGTGTCAACTGCTGCGAGCACACGCACGCCCACGGACACTTCAGTCAATATGAATAGTAAGGTTATGAAACACTGATTCATTTGAGTACATTGAAACTGATTGGCAGCACAGACAGGATATAATCTTGCAGTGAGATGACACAAAACAACATTAGAGCAAGTGATGTGTATTGCTATTATGATAAAGATATTTTGAGGATGCTTACCACAGACGAGGCATGCAAGGGACTCTCTGAAGAAGGGCAGTAGCGTGTACATATCTGCGAAGCTGTGAGGCTGCCGCGGGTCACACTGCAGCACGGCCCGGCTGGCGGACACGTACAGAGCGGTTGCATTAACGGGGTTCATAGCGGTGTGCTCCGCAGCCTCAGGGAGAAACGGCCCGGGAAAAAAATCCAGCCGCCCGCTGCAAGGGAGCTAAAGATAGCCAAGTCTCAGGGTGAATGGAGGAAATATAAACTGGCCTGGCGGAGCAACAATCAGTCACTCCAGCGTGTCAATGCAGGCACATGAATTAATAATACACACAATAACAGACAACGACCATGCTGAAGCGGTTATCACTAAACGCGCACGTTAGCTCGGCAGGCGGCTAGCTAATATTAGCATCACCGGTTCGTAGTAGTTACAATCCACCAACGAGGTTTCAGATCACAACTGAAGTTTCTGTTAATCAGGACCAATTAGACCCTGTGTTATAATTACTCACATTATCCCTAACGCTGCCTAACAGCTAGCGATGAATCAAACGATCACACGATCCATGATCAAAAGGTTAGCATAATGTAGCTAGCGTTAGCTTACGCCATCAGCCAAACGTTTTAAACGAGCGGTGGTCGATGCTAGCCATACAGCCCATGTACGATCCAACACCGTCTCCTCGTCGATGCCTAAATTAACGAACAGCGGCTCCGAAGACGGCACATTTGCTCGGCTAGCTGCTAGCTAACATATTCCGGGCGCGCACTTGATGTAAACAAAGCTAACCAGCCTGCGTTAGCATGGCTAGCCAAATTAGCTAGCGAAAATGCAACCGTATCACTAACCCCCCTAGGGCCGAGTTATGCCTCGCGCGTAGGAGGGAAATGCAAGCTATAAACTGAAACCCTGCAATTCTGATAGGTTTTGCTGTAATACTTGGCGAGCAGCGACCGAAACATAGCTAACTATCCGTTTTACAAATGCATCAATCATTCGATTTTCCACTTTTCCTCGCATCAACCCCTCTCGACAGGCATGATCATCACGCGAGACTTCTCCTAGTTACCCTGGTTACCGTAGTGTACGAAGGGTCCTGCACACACGCCACAGAGCCTTTCTGGCTTCATTCACTGTCATTTTACAACTTGGTAATTAAAAGTAGCGATTAATTCATTATTTTAATAAGATGAGGGAAGTAATTGATTATTAATTTGAATTAAAAAAAACAATGAAGTCACATATTTTAACAAGTAAATAAGCACTAAAACTTGTATTTCAGAAGACCACAGCTGAGGGTTAATACTATTAAGTGTACTGCATATCTCTCAACATCCCAGTCAAGGACCAAAACTGGTGGTGGTGGCGCAAAATATACTCCACCACCAGTTTCTGTTATGTTTGCACCACCATTTTTGTTTTCTGTTGAACCATCTCTGTCCCCTCTATCCAATTATTACCATAAATAAGTTTTGAAAGTAACAGTGTGCACAGTGTTCATGTTTTATAATTTGATATGGCTCAAGTATTACTCCAGTGTTCATGTTAAGTGATAAATATTCAATTAGGAAAAAGGTCTACTTACTATTCTTCCAGAACTTTCAACTGTGTCTCCCTTAGATTGACCCCGAGTGAAGATTATTTTGTTTCCAAAACCAAGACTGAACCACTTGGAAACTAAAATTCTCTTTAAGACTTTGTGACTTGCAGAATAGCAATCATTAATAATTTATTTCAGTGCTTTTCAGTTGAGTCACTTGTTCATGTGGACCCACAGAGATCCTACTTGAATTTAATTAGTTCCCTAGAGAAATGCACTTATTTCTTCCACTTTTTCAATAGCTTCAAGTCAGTTTAGTTATGAATATGAATTTGAACAAATTTTCTCCTTGGTTGTATTTCATATCCTTCTTATATAACCTCACCTGCATACAGATATGAAAGTTTAAGTCGCAATTAACACGTCTTAGATATGGTTCTACCTTATTTTATTTAGTCAACCTAAACATAACACTCTTATTACACATGGCCTGTTGCCTAAGAAGAAATTAATAGCACTACATGTCAAGGTGATTTTAGCCCTGTGTTTGACCTGTCAGGCAGCCCCTCCCGCCGGGTTCCCAACAAACTCTACCTATCAAAATGTTATATTTCCGTTTATGTCGTCCAGGATTTGGGAAATGTTTGAATTTTAGACCACCAAGCAGCGGCAGAGGCCCCAAACTGAGCGTGTACCTGACAAGCCAAAGTGAGGGCAAAGAAAATCCAAATACAAGCCTCAGGAAACGCTCAAAGTCCCGCCCACCCGACAGTAAGCATTCCTTCTCTCTCATTGGCTGTCAGATCTCGCCCCCCGTTCGCTATTGGCTCAAATCTCCGTCCTTCGTTATCCTGCCCACTGTCAGCAGAGAGCACACACGGCAATGATGGCGGCGTTCAGGGTGGCCCACAGCAGCAGCGGACTGATAAACGGGTTGAGGACGTCTTTCAGGAGTTTTGCGGCAGTGAAACATGGCGCAGTCACTGCCGCAATGGCGCAGACCACCCTGCAACGGGACTGCCGCCGGTACTCTGTCAGCCACCTGTCCGTTAAGGAGAGGATTGACATTAAACGGAAGGCGGCGCTGATCGGGGGAGGTCAGCAGAGAATAGATGCACAACACAAAAGGGTAAAGTCAGCTAACTTTGTCTTTCTTCTTTTAATCTTAGCCTGCATTTAAGATAGTTCTTTCATTAATTGAAGCTTTAAATACACTGCCAGCTAGAGTGGTTGAGGTGTTTAATGTCTGGCCAAAGGCTCAAAGTCAATCGTAGCTGTTTTTTCCTCACACACATTAAAATGACCTTTAACAACCAACTTTCCTACCTTGTTAGGGTTAACTGTAACTCACTGGCACTTAAGATACTTTACAATGTCACATCTTGTTAAAGATCCTTGAACAAAGTGCTAATCCTCTGCCAATTCAAGGTAGAAGTTCAAAAGTAGGTTGCAGGTTTAAAGGAGCAGTGCATAAGATTAAGGGGGGTTTAGTGACATCTAGCGGTGAGGATTGCAGATTGCAACCAGCTGAAACTTGTGCTGGTTAAAATTTCTTAAATGTTTATCGTTCAGGTTTTAACCAGGAGCTGATATTCTTGATGAGCTTACAAATTAGTAAATTCAAGTGCTATAGTGTTACAGGTTGACCTAACAGTTTGCCTTCAAATATTCAGTAAAAACTACAAATTATTTCTCATTTCTTTAGTTTGAATCGAAAAAGCTTGAAGTTGCTCCTCTTTTTGGAACCATTGCAGAGTCCGCAGTAATTTCGCTATTAGCCATGCTTGTTGTCGCTGTGGTTAACTGTATGACGTCAATATATCAACAAGTCAAAATATCGCGAGTATCACAATATGAATTTTATGTATCATATTAAAAATTACAGTGGTATTATCGTTAACAAGATGATGTGGCACACCCCGAGTAAAAACACTCAAAAAGAGCAGTCTCACGTTAAAAATCGGTGCTTCTCTGATGCTGTCTGACATGTCAGAGATTGTCCACCAGCTCAGCACTTAGTAAAATCCAGATGTCCAGGAGGTTTTTACCTGGAGCGGAGTTATGTGCAAAGGTCTCTACGTCTTCAAAACAAACAGACCAGGTGATTTAAATCAGTAAAAACATTGAATAAAGCAGTCTTACCTTAAATAATAAGTGTTTTCCCAACACTCTCATCGCAGAGGGGCTGCTAACTACAGTGGCCACCTATCTAGAGTCAGTGTTCGGTTTGTCCACTCTGAGCTACTGTAGAAACATTGTGGTGCAACATTCCAACATACTTCATAGATGAGGTCCCACTCACTTTGAGGAAATAAACAGCTCATTCTTGTCATTATATACTGAGGAAAACATTACATTATATTCTACTTCTGCCAATAGACCCCTCTAAATCCTGCACACTGGACTTCAAATATTGTTAACAAACCCTAAACATATTCCCACAGTTATTTATGAAATACATGATTGTGCCACGAGAAACTGTCAATTCTAGTGTCCAATGTGAGAGCTCTATGTTACAGACAAAAATAAGACATCTTGACATATTGTGACATATTTAAAAATATTATTGCAACGTTTAGGACAAAAATCATTTCCACTAAATCCATTTTCTATTACACTTTTATTTAAAACACTCATATTACACCTAATTGTGTGTGTGTATAGATAGATAGATAGATAGATGATAGATAGATAGATAGATAGAGATATGTATATGTATGTATTTACTGTAATCTTTTAAATCTTCCTTTAGTGCTACCTTCACCTCTACCTCATCTGTTAATACATTTTCTGTGGGTGTAGCATTGAGGGGCTACAGCTGTGTTACACTATACAATCCTGTATTGCATAATACCAATACTAAATCCTTGAATTATTTAATAATAAAGCTCTGTGGTTATCATTAGCCCTGATTTGTAGGCATAAGTTAATGCAATAGTTAGAAGAAATTTACTCAGTTTTGCTAAGTGATATAGCAAAATAAATATCTGACAAATCAAGCTACTAAAGTCATAAAAAGGTTTTATATTGCTATAAACAGACCTTCTAAATGATATAAAACCCAGGCAACAAATTTGTATGGTGTAATCTATATGTAGTGCAGTATTTCTTTCAGTCAACGTGTAGTAACTTGGCGTTATGTGTTGCAGGGTAAGCTGACAGCCAGGGAGCGAGTGGAGCTTCTGTTGGACCCTGAGTCCTTTGTGGAGTCTGACATGTTCGTGGAGCATCGCTGCTCTGATTTCGGCATGGAGCAGGACAGGAACAAGGTAACGGCTCGCACGCAACTCAGCAGCATCGTGCTTTATCCACTAGAAACAAGAGCATGTCTTCCTCTGGGGTTTGAAACATTTCTCATCATAATACCCTTGTCTCTGTAATAGTTCCCGGGTGACAGCGTGGTGACAGGCCGAGGCAGGATCAATGGCAGGCTGGTTTATGTGTTCAGTCAGGTACAGTGTGCAGTTATACTGGTACTACTACTAAGAATCCTACATTTTGGCAATATCCAGCAGCTTGACTTCACCTGTGTAATATTGTTTCCATCTTGCCCTTTTGGTTTACCTCAGGACTTCACAGTGTTTGGTGGCAGTCTGTCTGGAGCTCACGCACAGAAGATCTGTAAGGTAAACAAACTAAAATCACTGAGGTGTGTGTACTCGAATCTGTGCTTGCATGTGTGTGAAACAAGCACCTAATAGAAAAAAAGACTTTAAAACATTACTTTTCCCTCAGTAAACATTCCTTGTCAACAATACTTTCCTGTGTTATTCTTCTAGTTTGCCGTTAGGCATTTCAGATACTAATTTGGGTGTATGCTTAATGTTCTGTACTCAGATTATGGACCAGGCCATGACAGTTGGAGCCCCGGTCATCGGGTTGAATGACTCTGGAGGAGCTCGAATCCAGGAGGGAGTGGAGTCTCTGGCTGGATATGCAGATATATTCCTGGTATGGTGATATTGTAAAGAGCCTTTTGTGCTAATGCCTGAAATAATATTGAAAACATTCTTATCAAGCTCCGAGAGTACAGCTTGCAACAACTTGTAGGGTAATTCCCTGACATGCCTTGGGCTAAATGGCTGGCACTACATGCACCTCATGCTGTGCATTTAACATACTGCCAATATGCACATTTAGAAATTCACACGGCTGGAGGTATAGGTAAAGTAAAATTAAAACATTCTCCTTTTCCAGAGGAACGTGATGGCTTCAGGAGTCGTCCCCCAGATCTCCCTCATCATGGGTCCCTGTGCAGGAGGAGCTGTCTACTCCCCCGCCCTGACAGATTTCACCTTCATGGTTAAGGTAGGGAGCTGCACAGATACAGCTGAAACACCAATCAAAATCTTAAGTAATTATCTGATAATTAGCACTTGTTGAAAATGTTTCAGTGTTTCTAACTTGTCAGCATTCTGCATATTAAGCTAATTGTGGACACAGAAGTCGCAATATTCGGTGATGCACAATTATGATGCAGTTGTGTTTGTAATGCCTCATTTCCACTACATTGTACGGCTCAACTTTACTTAACTCGCTTGAAGCAGTTGAAGACGATGTTACAGCAGTGTCACGCATCACTATGACAGTCAGCTAAGAGTTCCACGTCCACTGACAAGGTACTATCCGCAGTAGAAATTAAAATTGAGGAAAGCACCTGGTATCAAAATGCGTTGAGTTGAGCCGAACCACTCAGTGTAAATGAGGTGTGAGACTATCTCAGTTACATTAATCTGACATCTTTGCGTATGTGTGTGCATATAGGACACATCATACCTGTTTATCACAGGACCTGATGTTGTGAAGTCTGTCACTAATGAAGATGTGACTCAAGAGGAGCTTGGTGGAGCCAAAACGCATACCACTGTGTCAGGTTAGTTTGCATGTTAAAGCTTTTCAAACTTCTGATTTTCTTGTTTTGCTACAGAGTTGACGGTGCTCTTTTCATGTAAACGTCCAGCTGTAGTAGCCATCTTGCCTTTTGGTTCTGTAACAGTTGCGTCCCAGTGGCCTTATTTCTAAAACTTGTCACTGGTCATCAACATATCTAAGATTAGTTCTTGATTTCAGAGAGACTTAAATTGAATTATTTGGGTCTAAAAGGTGTCTTGTGTTGCTCACAGGAGTGGCTCACCATGCTTTTGATAATGACGTCGAGGCCTTGCTCAACTTGCGAGAGTTCTTCAACTTCCTGCCGCTAAGCAATCAGGACCCCGCCCCCATCAGGGAGTGCCACGACAGCAGGTTACCAATCACCTTGACCTCCACTTTTTAGAACAACCAGTCACCTAAAACTAATGGGAGAATATCTGTTTTCATTTCAACACATGTCTGATATCTTGTCCCCTTTTCAGTGATCGTCTGATACCTGCATTGGACACCATCGTCCCGTTTGAGACAACCAAAGCCTATGACATGTTGGACATCATTCAAGCAGTATGTGCATGCACACGCAACAATGTGCAACCACATCTCATTTAACTTCTGCAAGTAGTTAAAGTTTCCTTTCTTCGTTTAGATAGTAGATGAGAGCGACTTCTTTGAGATCATGCCCAACTACGCCAAAAACATTGTGGTGGGATTTGCCCGCATGAATGGACGCACTATCGGCATTGTGGGTAACCAGCCCAAAGTTGCTTCTGGTGAGTAAAACAGTTTTTAAATTGTATATGCAACAAACTAAGTCCCAAAAAGAGCATGGTGGGGGAAGATAAGTTGGGAACAAAGGCATTGTTTGTTGATTGCTCGCCTAGTTGCGTGCGTTTTCGTCTCACTGTTCAGTTCTCAATTTCTGTCTCGTCGATCAGGTTGTTTGGACATCAACTCTTCAGTGAAGGGAGCCCGCTTCGTACGCTTCTGTGATGCTTTCAATATTCCCATCATCACCTTTGTGGATGTTCCGGGCTTCCTGCCAGGTATTCTTTGAAAATCTCACAGTGCATATACACTGGCTGCATGGAGTGATCCAGCTATTGGCCATACTGTAGTTTACATCATAATCAGGTTAGGATATTGAGCTATGATTCTCTTGTGAGTCTCTCTTCTGCCATAAATAATACAAGAATGTTTCTGTCTGCCTTGTTGAGCTCCCAGATGGAACAGCTCAGGGAAAAGAAATAAGCTCATGCAGTAATAACAAGTTTTAGTATAGGAGAAAGGCAGGTATCTATCTCAAAAATATTTGGCCAACTTGTCTTTCATACTTATTAAACACACAAGCTAGAAACCAGGTTACCCTACATGTAAGCAGAAATTCTCCTTGCACTGAAATGTAGCTACAGTCACATCTGACAGTTCACACTCACACCCACTATAACTGCTGTGATGGTCATCAACAGGTACCGCTCAGGAGTACGGAGGCATCATCAGACACGGCGCCAAACTGCTGTACGCCTTTGCAGAGGCCACTGTCCCAAAAATCACCATCATCACAAGAAAGGTGTGTGTGTGTGTGTGTGTGTGTGTGTGTGTGTGTGTACAAAATAAGAAGAGACAGATGTGGAATGTCGAAACAGCAATAAGCACCCGTAGCTCTTCATCTAAACTGACCAAAATGTGACAAAATCATTTAGAGAAACTTTTAGACTTTGTTAGAACCTGATGTTAGAACAGATCAAGCTAAGAGACTAACCCCAGTGACTACAACCGAACACTTCCTGCAATAAAAGCCACTATAAAGCTCTTTACTGGAGGACTTTTGAACAGCTGCACTCAGTCTGCTTTAAAAGCAGCATTGCAATATCAGTGTGTATGCTTTTAATCTCTACTTGACATATTTTCCATTTTCTATACGGGGGAAAACTCAGAATTAATGTTGTACACTGTGTACTCAGAGGTAAGACATATGGCTCAGTGTGTGTTTGTGTACCCCAGGCTTACGGGGGAGCCTATGATGTGATGAGCTCCAAACACTTGAGGGGAGACGTGAACTACGCCTGGCCCACAGCTGAGGTTGCTGTCATGGGCGCCAAGGTACAAACACACAACTTTTTTTCTGTTTATGTCTCTTAATCTCTCTTTTCTTTGATGTGACAATGGTCTGTTTCTGTCTTTCTCAGGGTGCTGTGCAGATTATTTTCAGAGGAAAGGAGAACCAGGCGGAGGCAGAGGCTGAATACGTGGAGAAGTTTGCTAACCCCTTCCCAGCTGCTGTCAGAGGTGAACTTTGTCACTGTTTTATAAAAAACTGCCATCTAGTTTCAATATGTTAGAGAAAGGCAGACATCTTTATAGCCGACTAATAACTAAACACTAATCTGGAAGGGGTTCATCTGCAAAAACTAATGAAAAACTAAACAACGATATTCGGTACTTGGTATTTGGCCAAGCACTTAATATTATTCAGCTTCGGCCACAAATTTTCATTTCGGTGCATCCCTAATATAATGCATTATACACTTAAGTTTCTTACCAGTCAACTGTTTGCTTTAGGTTTTGTGGATGACATCATCGAGCCGGCGACCACTCGCAAGAGGATCTGCAGAGATCTGGAGGTGCTGGCCAGCAAGAAGCAGGTCAACCCCTGGAAGAAACACGCCAACATTCCTCTGTAAAACACACCCAAACTGTTTCCACATTAACACTATCTAAAGGCACTCGCTGTGGGATTTTCCTGATACGGACTTTGCATTCAGATGAACTGCAGTGGTAAGCTGTGATGACCACTTGGGTAGTCTTCCAAGCAGATGTTTGTTTTATCTGTACCTCTTCGCTGAAAGCAGCACATAAAGATAGACTTCCTGATTTTGTATGTGTCTAATAGCAGTCCCAAATTTTGAGCCCTTCCAGCTCATCGATTATGTTTTGAACAAAAACTGTGTTAGAACATAAACCTTGAGCTTTTGGGGATTTGGGGGAAATATTGGTGCTCTGTAATCAAAATCAGTATCTGTATCTTCACAACTTTGCCACTGAAACAGAAGATATTAAGAGGAAATTCCGAACACATTTTACAGTACCTGAACAAAAGATGGTGTTCACACAAATTTACTGTAATTTTCATTTCAGTAGTGGCCATATTGGTCACTACTGATGATTTTACATTTTAAGCACATGTATCTGAAAGGATAGATAACGCATCACCGATAAAATGCTATAGAAAAACCACAGGCAACTAACTGTCAACATGATGGTATTATGCAAACATGCTGTCGTCTCTTGCCATGTACAGTGTTTCCAAAGTTGTTTATGTATTGTATTTAGTTGAGGTTTCTGGTGTGTTAAGTAGTTTGCGCTTCAGATGCACTCCCTGTGTTTGATGTCCTCCGTTAAGGTCAAGAAAAAGTCATCCTTACAACCTTGAACTGTGCCTTTCCTCTGGCAGGCTCTGCTCTGCCATTTGTAAAATAAATCATAGACTCCATACCATGTGTGTATTCTTTACTTTTACCAATGCAGTAGTTTGTCTGTAGTCAATCCACTTTTTAAAATGGCAAATGTATGTGTAAGATTACCATCGTACTGGTTTTAAAGATAAACTAGTGTGATGGGATCACACCAGCCGCAATGCCAAATTGGTGTGTCTGCTGAAATGGAACACAAGACGTGAAAGAAGTGAGTTTGGCCAAACCTTAAAGATGTATTTTATTTCATTATGCTCTTGATAGTGCTGGATCAGTGGACGGCAATCATTGGCTGAAACTGAGATACAACTTAAGAACGAATGTGAGCTAGGGGCGTTAAGTGGGGCGGCCAAAAGGTAGGTGACGTACCTTCCTGCGGGTGTCCTCCATAGGATCTAATTTTTGAAAAAATATGTACAGTCGGCGGAGAGAGACAAATAATTTTTGATCCTGTTAAAATTGTGCCATGAATTACACATATGTCAATTTTAAAGATAATTTTCAAAACAAAAATGTCCCAGTTTGTCATAGGTTTGTTGTAGCACCCTTTAGTTTTATTGGGAAACAGCTCAGTGAACTACATCTCTTGTCTTGCACAATATACGTAACCTACAGCCGCTAGCTAGCTAGGTAACTTAGCTATATTCTCCGTACAAATGTAACATTGTCTGACTTGATGTGTTTTATCCAGCAACTCCAGGTCCTTTTATCAGCCAGGAAGAGCAAGAAATACCGAGACCAGTTGCTCACACTAATGCTGCCTTCCAATGGTGTTGTGATGTAGTGTTTACAACATGGGTTAGGGTTAGTCTAGCACGAACTCCTAAACTCTCAGGCTCTCAGAGAATTTCCACTTATGAGGTCATGAATACTAAAACAGTGGGCATTGATATGGATTCTTTTTATCAACCCAGTGATCATGGTCCTATTTGAATGCAGCAATGGTGGCTTCAGCGAGAGAGAAAGATGTGACGTCGCCTATACAACTTGTGTAGCCGTTCTAAATATGTCTTTTAATAGTTTTACAAGAAACTGTGACCTTCTTGACTTGCAAAATGATCTTCTAAGTTGACTAATTCATTGCACAACTCAAACATGATCAATAAATGATTTGTCTCTCCCCATAAGCCAGTGATACTCAACTTATAGCCCAGGGTGCTGGGTGGCCCCTCAAGCATTTTTTAAATTCACAATCAAAATAAATTGATTCACACTGGGATTGTTTTTGTACTTTTTGTGTAAATAAGGTGCTAGAGTGTATAAAAAGCATCAAAATAGAGCTTCTTCATCAAAAAATACCAGGGGTCTCATTTATAAACATTGTATATGCAAAGAACAAGGCCTGAAAAGATGTACAGCACGCCACTTCCCAAGCAATGACTGGATCTAGAAAAACAGACTTGATGGGTGAAACTTTGACCCATGCTTACAAACATTTTGGAAACAGGAAATTGGCAATGCAGATGGTGAAGCAGAAGCCTGATTGTAGAAACTAATATTAGTTGGCACATGCCATTTTTGGCTTTTGTCCGTACATACATTTTTAGTATGGATCCTAGGCAATAAGACCCCCAGGGAGGATTCCTCAGACCGCGTGACAGAGGTCTGAGCTAACTCCAGAGTGTCCTGAAACCCTAGAAATGCCCCTGTGTACACCTGACCAGTGTGGGGTTGCTGAAACTGGCCCCCAGGCTCCTGTCATTTTGCAAAAGTGGCCCCTGGGCAAAGCAAGTTGAGTATCCCTGCAATAGGCCCTTTCCACAGCAGACATTTTGACTCATCCTAGTAGAAAAAGCACAGGTGTTATTAATAACACTAATGAAGGCTCTGTTGTATTCAAGTGCTCAGTGAGATTGATAGTGAACAAGCATGCAGGATACAAGGGCCCTGAAATCAAAGCAGCTGAATGGAATTCAGCCATCACTGATTTCATTATTTACACCTGTGTTGTTCCTACTGTGACATGTCAAAATGTTCTCTGTGAAAAAGGCCAGCTGATTACAGTACATATTTTTTTCAAATGGTGGTCCTTTACCTTTCGATGGCATCCTCTCTACTACCTACACCTTCTGGCGCCCTCACTCGGACCACACCTGTCTTCATTATGATCCCAACTACACACCTGTTAAGTTTGGTGACTGCACCTAGCATGCTATGCTAACTGCTATCTCGTTTACAAATTTTGTCTGCAGACAAACATAAACTCCTGACAAAACATTTCGCGAAATATTAAAACAAAATGAATGAAAAATATATTTCAAAAGTTACGAACTGTTAACACGCTTAACTGCTTTCTTGCCGAGACGTAGTAGCGAGCGTTAGATGAGAACCTTAAGCTAATACCACTTGTATCTGAATGCTAACTATGCTACAGCTAGTTAGCTTAGCATAAATACTGGAAACTGGGGGGAAGTTAGCCTGCCTCTGACCAAAGTTAACAAAATACACCTACCAGGACTTCTGTAGTGAAGCGCCCGACAGGAAGGTGTCATGGCGGAAAAAAACAAAACGACTCATGCTCTCAATTTAACCTCTGGGTCACTCGTCGTGGGGTTGCTAGGCAACCACTGTCGACTCCAGGAAGTGACTGCGCCTTATTACGTTACTGTGAGAAAAATAGAAATTTGACGACTCATTCTAAATCAACTTAAACTACAAGATATTTTATGATTAGCAACAACATAACTTTTTATATTATAGACTGTAAAATATTCTTATATAAAAATAAAGAGGAAAAAAAGCTATGTGGACACAGGCCCTTCACTCGTTTCCTTGTAGGCAGTAAACGCATCATGGTCTTCATCAGCAGTAGTTTGCTGGGATACCAGCGGCCATTTCAACTGTTCAGCCCAATTTTTAAAAGGTCCAGTGTGTATGATATAGGGGGGCAATTGGCAGAAATTTAATGTAATATAATAAGTATGTTTTCTTTAGTATGTAATAATCTGAAAATACGAGTTATTGTGTTTTTGTTACCTAAGAATAAACCATTTATATTTACATAGGAAGCATTTCCTTGTCTATTGAGTTTGCCATGTTGCAATGCCATGTTTCTATAGTGGCCCAGATTGGACAAAACAAATAGTGGCTCCAGATAGGGCCCTTTGCGTTTTCAAAAGTTCCTTCCTCTTGATGAATTTTGTCTTACCTTTGGAAGTGCCTAGACTGCCTTAATGTTTAAAGCGAACCTTGAGTTGAAATTGTTTTGTCAGCCACAACAACAGCTGTTCACAAGGTCAAAAGTGATTTGTCCTGCATTACAGTTATAATCTACTTTAAAAACTATGGCAAAGCTGGAAGTTGGATTTGCTAACAGTTGTTTTTATCTATAATGAGGTTGTAAAACAAAGTCACACACAAATGCTGGTCCATAAATCGATTACAGATTTTATTTTATTAGAAAGAATTTAGGTTCACAGAAAAAAACAGGCTTTTAGAGCATTTTAGGGCAACTGATGTCAACTGCACTGCAGAAAAGATCCAATTGTCTCTGATATTTACAGGACGACTGCCAAGCCAGCCAAGGGAAAGGTAAATGATTGATAAACCGACGGTGGGTGAACAACGATATGGCTGGAAACATTCAAAACACATTCAAACAAATCTGTCAGACATAGAAATCCGTCACTGTACTGGATCTGAACGATGATAACGAATCTGCGACTTCTTGGATCAGTAAACACTGACGGCGGGTGTGAAAACTTAATCTAAACCGTAAAATGAACGAACCTAAGATAATCTGCTGTAATACTGAACTGTGAAACGATTACAATCAGACCATACAGCGCTTAAAAACTGGTTTTCCACAGCAACAATCTGAGCTTGGTAACCGTTAGATATGAGTTACAAGTGTAGGGGGGAGGGGCTGGAATATACTGTAAGTATGTAGGCCACAATTTGGCAACAAACAAGATACATATTCAAGAAAAGGCTGTACAAACATCAGACAAAAACAAAAACACACTTGATTTAAAACTTTAGTACTAAAGCTACAGAATTCAAAATATGTTTATTGTCTTTTTTTTAAAACTTTTTAACTTCAAAACCCCGTTATTCAAGGGTGTGTGTTTGTGTGTGTGTGTTCCGAGAGATCTGAGAGGGTGGAGGCTTCTTTCCGAGGTCGGTTGGGGGAGGGAGGTGGCTTCGCCGCCAAATGACAACACTTTTTCGCTTTGACATAACACACACACACACAAGACAGTTACATCACTTCTGCCAAGTCACTCTACAGCTGTTGACCTCAGTGTGCATGTGCGACTACTCGACCATCATCACCACCAACACTTTACACACACACACATCACACACCAGCACCACCACATACACGGACTCAGATGGCGAACAGAGAGAGGAGGGGGGGGTCGGTGGGTGGTAATAAGAGCAAAGATATAGAACACTTAGTATTGAGATCCTCTCTATGCTGGACTGAACCAACAGATCGAAGTGCGACACCAAAAGAAGGGGGGGCTGTACAGAGTGTTACGCTGCTCTGTGCTGCTGATCGGGAGCAAACAACTGTACATCTGTGTTAACAGGGAACCGTAAAAACTGTGAGTGCTCGTCGGCCGGCTGCAGGATTACTTAGCCAGAGCGCCATCAGAGCTACCGCTAACAAGAGCTAAACCGACAGGCTGGAAAGGAGGAGGAGGAAGAGGAGGAAGATTTGGAGCAAGATGAAGCTCTTGAATAATCCGGACTAGATTCTGGAGAATGTTCTGGATCCTCCGGCCCACCTGAAAGAACAGAGCCGATCCTCGCTTCACACTTCCAGGTGAGATCCAGCCGATGCGGGATCTGTCAGCAGATCCTCTTGACAAACATCCTTCCACCGTGTCTTATAGAAAGAGAAAAGTACTTCAACAATGTTTTTTTTCTTCTTCTTAAGAGTGTGATTGGCAGGTTATCTGGGTGAGACGTCCCAAACCCCCCCTTCTGTTTACTCCTGATGTGGATCCTGGTCTCAGGATCGTTGCCTCTTCCCAGATCAGAACATGGGCATGCTGAAACCCTGGAACGATAG